AGATTTCAAAATATTCATCCTCGGCACTTGAGGTGTGCTGCCTCTCACTATGTTCAGACAGGCTTTCCCTTAATAATTTGGCTGTCTGAGTGGGGCTTTTAAATAAGTATTAAGCCTTGTTGCTTTGAATTTGTTTTTGTTGTTGATTTTGTTTGCCATTTTTAGCACAGTATTTATTTGGTTTTTAAGACTATTCATATATATACTGCTTTTAGCTTTTAAATATTGACTTCAAATGATGTAAACTGTCTTGGGTCCTTTTTAAGGCGGGGTAAAATTATTTTAAATAAAATAATAAATAAATAAAATGGAGCTGCCAGGAAGCCATCATGGCAGACAGCCATTATCACAAGCTTTTAAAAAGTCCTGTTTAAAAAGACCTTCAAAGGAATAAACCACACTGTGTACTATAGGACTTCTCTCTGAATTAATAGTCAAAAGATTGGACGGCACATATAATGTCTCACCTGAAAATGAAATGTTTCATTGTATAGGGACAATGATTTTACAGGATCAGGAAGTATTTGTTTGAGTTAATTCAGTCAAATTAAAAAGTGTACAATTTATGGTCCTCCAGATGCTTTTGGGCTACAACTCTGATCAGTCCTTCCAGCATAGTCAATGGTAAGACTTAATTGGAATTGCTGCCCAACAACATATGAAGGTGCAGAGGTTCCCACCTCTGACACACACATACAATTTGGGAATAGTTTACTATCTGTTGTATGAATCTGCTTAGGGTGAAGGGTTCAGTCTTAATACAAGTGAGTGGCAAGTTCATGGAATTATTGACATGTCAGAGAAAAATGTTGCTTCATAAGCTCTTAGTAAAGCCTTCAGTGATTCGTTCTGTAGCAATCCTACAGCATCACAACTTTCAGGCTGAGAATTTCAGTAATGATATCATTCTGCATCCTCTCTTAAAACCACATTACTTAGGATGCTTCAGTTCTTCCAAAGGGACATACCCTCTGGGGGAAAAAATTGCATCATACACAATGAGAAACCTGAAAAGTTTCTCTGGGAGTGGTGAGAAATCCTATATAATCATCCTGACTTGCATTTAGATATACAGCAAGGTGAAGAGACTGTCTGCTTTCATTCCTGCATTAAGCGACTCCTGTTCAGTTCTAATTTTTAGCAGTACCTGTATCTTGTTTTTCAGCTCCAGAATTGTTGGCTGTACCATGTGTTTTTCATTTGTTAATAGGGTAGTGCTGGAAAGAGACCAAACAGTAGCTTTAAAGTATACTTTTGTGTTTGTTTATTCAGAAGTCCATATTTATTCAGAATTCGGTCCTATTAAGTTCAACAAAATTAGCTCCCATGCATATGCATAAAACTGAATATAACTTCTACAAACTCACACTATAAAAGGTGCCATTGTGCCTTAAGTAAAACTAAGGATAGTTCATTACTACATGTTATATCTGATTGCCTAATAGAACAATTATTAAAATGATGGGTTTTTGTTATACACATTATATACAGACATACTGTATTGTGTAAATATATAAGGACCTCTCATTTCTTGGAAAAATGTAAGTGGCATGAGTCATTAAAGAAGTGTAACTGGGCTCAGAAATGTTCTGAATGTGTCTAATGTGGTTACACCTTTGTGAAACTACATTGTTCTGGTTTTGAAAGCCAGTGTGACGTAGCTGCTGAAATGTCAGATTTTGACCAGATGTGAAGAAAGCCCACATTTTTACTACCTTTCCCCATGTAGTTCTATGTGCAAAAGTGATCAGGTCATAATGGTTAAATCCATATTATGAAAAAGGTCACTGGGTAATTCCTATACACCAGGCTCCTGTTAAAGGGATATGAACAACCTGACCAAAGTTTTCTTCATGGGGCTGGATGAGATGACGCAGTTCTGGCTTCATAAAAATCCACACTTACCTATGAATTACAGAAGTAGAGGGTATGATGACTGAAAGAGAGAAATTAGATTTGTAATAAATTATAAACCATGTAAGGGGAGACCACACACTGAATGAATGAGGCAGTTGTGGGAGGGCATTGTAGCCCAGCGGTCACAAAGGCCTACTGGCGCAACCTTCTGGGATGCGCTGGGCGCATGTCCTCTTCTAGGAACACAGTTCTCCATATGGAGGCCTGCCAGAGGCCATTCCTCCTTTTGAAGATATCCTTTGATTAAAATGCTGCTCACCTCTGTTGTGATTTAAAGAGAAAGGAGCATAAGGAGAGAGATCAAGGTACTGCAGGCCATACCCATACAGCAGACTCAGCAGGTACATAGGTCACTTCCTTCCTCATTTAAATAAGCCATGTCATAGTTCTATGTAAGTTCTAAAAATAATTTTGGAATTTACCCCTGTGCATATAAATTAGTAGAGCCAGCCTGTGTGGCCTTGGCAAGCTGCATGGTCCCAGGGCACTGCCCCGAAGACAAGGATGGTGAACCACTTCTGAATATTCTCCACCTGGAAAATCCTGGAAAGGGTCTTCATAAGTCAGAATTGACTTGATGGTGAATTATTATGATCGATTTTATATAAATAAATAGCAATATCCATTTTTATGTAAATCAGTGTCCTCTTAGGTCTCCCTTTTTGGTCACCCTTCTCTCCAAGGGGACCAGAACTCAGTAGAAGCCTATCTATACAGAAGGAGATACTTCTGCTGGTGGGATGGATAACAGCATCCAGGGAGCCACATGGCTTAAGGGAGAAGACCAAGAGCAGCACATCCACATTGCCTCTTTCAACACATCAGCTCCCTTAATTCCAGTGAGTTTGCCCACAAATACAACTCTTCTAGTAAGAGTTAATGTGACCTGGAAAATGTTGGACAGGATGCAGAAGAGTATGTAAGTGGCTTAGCTGGGTGGAACTGAAGGATTAGAGAGTGGATCTGGGAGAGTGGTTATTAGAAAACTATTGGGAAGGGTGAGAGGCAAGACAAGACTTGACACAACAGCTTCTAGGGAGTGGACAGGTAAAGTAAACGATGGAATGAAGGCGTCAACAGAACAATAGCTGAGGCAATATTTCTTCTGAGGAAGCCCATCCCACCACAAGTACATGGCCTCAGAGATGGGTTTTGCTTGACAAGAAATACACCTTTCTGGTGTATCTCAGAAAGAAACATTGACAAGCATTCTGACATTTAACAAAAAAGAAACTATGGCAAGCATCCTGCCATTTATGAATGCTAGGCTCAACAAGGGCATGCATCTCACAAGGGCTAAATATAAACATGCTGTCCTACTGGGACAGAAATAGGTGGTAATTCTTGACTTGATCCTTTTATGTGAGCAAAACCAACACAGTAATAATTAATTATGATTTATAGCAATCCTTCCAGGCTTTCTAGGTACAGATTTCTCAGAAGTGGTTTACCTTCTTCTGGGGGCACTCTGGGATTATTTACCTTGCCCAAGGCTGGCTTTATTCCTGGGAAGTAGTAGGAATCAAACCCCCAGTCTCTGGCTCTGTAGACACATAGCTAACTCACTGAGCTGTTCACAATTTCCTGCTGTCATTTGCTAATATGTAAAGCAAAGGAGTAATGCTCAGGGCTAAGGAAAGCCAAATGAATGCCCCACATCAGTGGAGAGCACATACTGCTTTACCACTGAATTTCAGTTGTGTGGCATGAGGAAGATCCCTCATTATCCATTTAAAAATGTATGCCAGGATGGGTACTTGCCTTCTCATAAAGCAGAATCACAGTGTCCTGAGTATCAATGATTGGGAAATGTTGGCTTGGCTCATGTGACAGCTGCAGCATAAAATACCTAATTACTATATTTTATGGATGCCCAGTGTGGTCGAGTGGCTAGAGTGACAGACTAGGGCTCTGGAGGCCTGAGTATGAATACCTGCTCAGCCATGGAAATTCACTGAGGAGGTTTAACTGGTAAAACCACTCCATGAATATCCCTATTAGGCTCAGTGTAAGTTGCTTCCAACTGGATCATTTATCTTGAAAGCCCTATTAGGCTCAGTGTAAGTTGGTTCCAACTGGACGGCCCATAACAAGAAGAACCATATTTCATATCACTAGAACTTTCTATCCCATCAAGCTCAAGGCAGCCTTTGTGTCTAATTCCTCCTCTTCATGTCATCCTTACAACAATTCTGCAGAGTAATTCAGATTGAAAGAGAATGGCTAGTCAGCATCATCCACTGAGCTCATCCAGAATCACAGCCTGCATCTCCTTACTGCCGGTCCAGTCTTCTAACTATAACACCCCACTGGCTTCTGTCTTTTCTTCTCACAATGAAGAAGCATCCATTGTGGCTGAAGCTCAGTGCTCAAGTACATGTGCTGTAGACTATATAAATAAATAAATAAATAAATAAATAAATAAATAAATAAATAAATAAATAAATAAATAAATAAATTCATAAATTCATAAATTCATAAATTCATAAATTCATAAGTTCCATTCCAGGCATCTCCAGGTAGAGATGGGGCAAATTCCTCCATGAAACTCTAGCAGCAAAGACAACTCCAAACTAGATGCACAGGTGATCTGAGTTAAAACATACCAGCTTCCTAATATTCATTTCTCTAACTACTTCTTAGCTTGAATCACGCTGCACTTTCTTCTGACTTGCCCAGTTCTCTACAGCCCATGTTGCAAGAACACTTGGTATGTATTGTGCAAGTGAAGACCATAAGTCATCATGGTGAACTATTGGGGACCCAGTCAACTCACAGAAAAAGCATTGTCTGCTTAACATCCCAGGTCATAGTCAATATACCGTCATATAAAAGCCTTCTGACAGGGAAAGACTTTAAACCACACTAGTGACACACAATGCCACAAAACAAAAATACAAGCAGGCCTATTTTGAGGTCTCGGTGATGGATTTGTTATTCTGAATTGCTTATCTTTCAGACCAGACAAACTGTTTATCTGAAATTTCCAGAATCTTTTGTCAAGAAGGAAAAGAGCTTCTGCAATGTTCCCTCATGAGCTTATAAATAAACAGTCTGTGTTATATTTTGGCCCTCTGCACTAGGTCTAAATAGCATGGAGGCACTCAGCGTGGCCAACGTGGGTTTCGCCATTGATTTCTTCAAGCATGTGTGCAAGACTCAAAACCACCAAAATGTCCTGGTTTCACCATGGAGCATTTCCTCTATTATGGCGATTATATACCTTGGGGCCAAAAACCGTACTGCAGAGCAGATAGCCAAGGTAAGCGTTGTGCTGTTCATTCACAGTGTAAATCTTTGAAGAGAGGGCTGCCATTATGAGGGATAATTTTCGCACCTACCATGTGAAAGAGATCTGTTTGTGATTATAGAAAAGTGTTTCCAAATTTTTCAGCGACTGGGGTATTGATGTTTTTGTCTGTTTTGATTTTTTAAAAATGGAGCTATTTCAGACAGCATTCAAAAGTAACATTTTCCCCCTTCTAGCACTTTTTTAAAAATAATAAGATAACTGTATGAAGTTCCATATGTAAAACAAACAAAATCAAACCCAGCATCTTGGCTTTTTAGTTGGTCCTAAGAAAGGTCTTGCCCAATTATGGATCCTGTTTTCCGTTATACAAACTGGTTAGGAACTGGCAAATAATGTTTCTGGGTGAGGAATCAAGGTGCCCTTTTCCTTTTAACATTGCATTGTGAAATACAGGATTGACTGTCATTAATACCTTGACCAGTAGCTGTGTCTTAACTGAAATATGAGCCAGGCAGGTGTAAAGGATTAAGCCGTGGAGCACTACATGCATCCAGCATCTTTTTTAAATCCAAGTTTCTGGTAGGGCTGATCTAAGATACTTTGTTGTCAAGTGAATGGACAAGATGGACTTTTCCCTTGTTCCGTGTCCAGGAGCCAACTAGATTTGAGTTGGATGTTCAGTGAGCAGAATATTGTTTGCTCTAATAACTGCAACAGATCTTATAGAGCCCGGACACAGGAAAATATATTTGCATCAACATCTTCCAGACTGGTCTACAATTACCTTAATCATCTTATGGTACCAGGTTTGCATCTAGGAATGAGTTTTTTGGGTTACACCAAGATACAGTGGTGCCTCGCTAGACAATGATAATCCGTTCCACTGAAATCACTTTTTAACGAAATCATTGTCTAGCGAAAAGCATTTCCCCATTGGAATGCATTGAAACCTGTTTAATGTGTTCCAATGGGGAAGAATCATCATTGTCTAGTGAAGATTGGCCATAGGAAAGCCGCTTTGCAAACCGCCGATCACCTGTTTAAATCGCTGTCTTGCGAAGCTTAGGTCCCGAAAACACCTGTTTGCAAGCATGGAGGGAGCTGTCAAAATCGTCGTCTAGTGAAAATCAGTTTTCGAAGCAGGGACCAAACATTGTCCAGCAAAATTCCCCCATAGGAATCACTGTTTTGCAAATTGCTATAGCGATCGCGAAAAGCCAATGTCTAGCGACAAAACTGTCATGCAGGGTAACTGTCTAACAAGGCACCACTATAGTTTTACACAGCATCCTTTGTTGTTGTTGGCAATTATTCAAAGTGATTTCATTTACAACACATACAAAGGCAACAGTGTGGTTCCCTCTGTTACCAGACTAAAAGGTGTTGGGCAGCTACTCCATCTTGTCCTTTCTGTTAGGAAACCCTTTCGGAAAACCAAGGAGAGTGACAACATGAAGGCACTGTCACTGGAAACCCCTGTTAGGTGAATGAGGCATGGTGACAACATAATACGTGCTTTATCTGGAGACTGTCCAAATGACTGTGAGAGAACATGCAGCCTACTATATTGACTTGATTTTGTATGCCTCTTTCCTTGCATCTATTCCCACTGCAGGTGCTTCACTTTGATAAAGCTGGAGGAAATGAGACTGCCTATCGAAGAAGACATCCACGAGTCTATTCCAAACTAGAAGAGCTTTTGTATAACCCTTGCATCCAGATTCCAAAGGTGACTTACTAAAAACAGACTATATCTCAGATAAATATAAGTTAGAAAATTAAAACATTATTTTTAACATAATTCTTGCCTATTCTTGAACATTTTTTAAAAACTGTTTTCAATTACTCTCACCCTCCTACATTAAATTTACATTTTAAAAGGACTAAATTGCATGACTGCCAGGGTTTTTTTTACAAATTTTTCTGAATTTAGACCTTTGAGTAGGGAGAACAGGGCCAAGGGAATTGCTCTTACATGGTTATAGGGCAGAGCACTTAGAACCAGAACTTGCATTTTTTAAAAAAAGAAAAGAAAATGGAAATACATTTTTGTTACTTTGTGAATAGCCAAACTCCCATGACCAAAATCTCTCTCTGTATTGGAAGCAATGAGTACAGTGTCACATCAACATATTGCAATATTCTCAATTGTTAGGCTACTTATTAAAAGTAACAAAATTGGTGATGTTGTTACCTACAAAGTAACATGTTGCAGACAAGACTGTTACCTCTAACACATTATTCCCAGTCTTCACTTGTAATACCTCTTCCATTTAACAACATAATTTTTTTTTAAAAAAAAACTTCCTTCTAAAGCAAAAGTATGCAGTCTACAGCTAATATGTTTACTTTTCCTGACAAACAAACTTAGCTCTTGTGCCCAAATAACTATCTACCTAGGGTTTTTTTTCCGTGAGAATAGCAGACATAGACAGAACATAGACACTACTAATACAGGTATCAATAAATATTCCAGATAGAAGACAGTAGATCAGACTTGCTGATCACCTCTGCTGACCTGGATAAAACAATGAAATGGGTGTGCGGGTATCAGTTAGGTATATCTCTTTCTATTAAAATTTAACCGCTGGATAGCTCAGTGGTTTAGGTATCTAGTTGCAGAGCCAGAGATTGGGAGATCAATTTCTCACAGTGCATATTATATTATATTATATTATATTATATTATATTATTTAACAGACTCGATACAAAAGTCTTAGAGCTGATAAAAATATTGGCTCTAAGACTTTTGTATCAATAGGCATATTTCCTCTGAAACTAAATATTTCTTGTTCACACTCTCTAAGAATTACATTAACAAGCATGCTTATATTTCTCTGGGTTGACTCTGCATTCTGCAAAATAATGACGGAGCATTGTTAAGATGGTCATTAGAATAACTGTGGACATAGATACTGAAGGCCTCAGTTGCTTGTTTATTTTGTCTTTTGTTTTGTGTCCTAAAACAGGAAGAAGGAACATGTGGCTTTCCACAATGTTGTTGGACTGGACCAACACCAATGCTAGCCAACACAGCTAATGGCAAAGCATCCCCAACATCTGGAAGGTCACATGTTTCTTGTGCCTGCCCCAGTCATAAGACATTCTGTCTGTCTTTGGTCCAAACCAGAGATTTCCCCATCAGCCTCTATTATAACTGAGGAACTGTGTCATATACTGAACTGCTGCAATGAAGGACATTGTATTTATTTATTATTCATATATTTAATACATATTTATCTTGGTTTTCACAAAAAAAAATTCCACTAAAGCAGTTCTTAATAATTAAAACTCAGTACACAATGCTGAAATCAGCATTAATGACAATGAAAGTATCGCAGGCTATTCAACAAGTGGGGAGCAAAAAACTGCCAGAGGAGGCAAAATGATTTGCTAGTGGCTAGTTGTTGATATGAATATATGGTCTATGCTGAGTCAACCTTTAGCTGGCTACCTGGGACTGAACACCAGGCCATGAGCACAGTTTTGGCTGCAGTACAGCAGTTTAACCACTGTACCATGAGGCTCTTCAGTTACTCCTTCCCCAACCCTGATCTAAGAGAGATAAAGGAGAAATACTGGGGTACAGAACAAAATGCTGCAAGAAGTGATGGAGAGGTTATGATATGAGTACCATGTAGGGGTTAATCAATGCTGCTTTTCTCTTAAGCTTGAGAACTCCGTTGAAACATCAGACAACATCCATTCAAGATTCCAGGCACTTAGCAAAGAAATCAATCAACCCACCAAACATTTTTTGCTTAGAAGTGTCAATCAACTTTATGGCGACAGATCAGTGCCTTTCCAAAAAGTGAGTGGCTTTATTTTATGCAACCCAAAATGGCTTAATATTGTAGAAGGATTTGCATATGTGAGCTCTAGAGCTATGCATGATGGATTGTATCATTTTGCAAGGTCCATTCTCCTGTGACTTTTGAGTTTGAGACTTGAAACCCTGGTTTTCCTGCAATAACCCTTTGTTAGAAAAGGTACAACTCTTAATTCTTGTGTATGTCTTAAGCAGACCAAGCATTTGGAATATCTTTCTCTGTTTCTGATCCCTAACTCCCCGTGAGAACAATATATTGTATAAATTCACTGGGTATGAGTGTGATCCATTGTGATCTATTTCCCAGTGATTACACCACACATGGGGAAACGTGCTCCAGTCTGACCCTGATCATGCCTAAGTTGTAGGGCTTCTACTTTTGGGAGCCAGGCTGGAGCGAATCCCTGGAAGGGTTGCTTTAAGGAATCCCATTCTCTTTAAAGCAACCCTTTGTGGTGCCATCAGGCAAATGCCTTGGAAGCAGTTTGATTGCACCATATGATAGCGGTCTGGACACAGGCAAATACAGTTTGGATTGTGCAGAAAGCAGGTGCAGGTTGGCTGGAAACACATCATAACTGACAAGGAAATGTGACGAAGTTTTATAGGACTTGGCAGAAGGCTATTGGCCTTTGGAGTCACCTGACATCCACAAGAAGTAAGGCTGCACTTGTTACATTGCTCTCTGTGGTAACATCATGAATAAAGCAGTCATTAGTTCCCTCCTTCAGCAAGGAGCCATGGCAATGTGCAGAGTGACTACATGTTTGATTTCAAGAGGGCAGTTCCCTATCAGAAGTACTGCCAAGGACAAGTTTCAAGCCTTAGTTGTGGTAGGAGGAGAAAGAGCAGTAGGGGCTTTAAAATTCCTCATTCTTGTTACCCACTGAATTGTAGACTGATTAGAAGGCACATTCTTCCTATCATTGTGAAATATGTTTTATTTCTGTTTAAGATGTAGCATTTGGTTATAAGGTTGCATGCATGCATAAGAATTAATATGGAAATATTTGCCTTCTGCTTTTTCTTCTGCTTTGGAGATTATTTTCTCTCCTTTTTAAATAGTGAGATCATATCCACTCTACTAGTGCATTATAATACAGTATTTTGTGCTCTGGTGGTTTCTTCAGCATACTTAAGATGATCCCTTTTTGGGATGATTTCCATAATGTAAATATAAGATTGGATAGATATTCTGTCTTCTCTTGCATATAAATACAAAAAAAATGTGTAGGATTAAATTTTTACCATATGGAATTAAAGTCAAGAAGTTGGTAAAAACATGCAATAACAACAGTTGAGATTTTATTCTACTACTCTAGATGTAGCTTGTAAAGATATTATGAACATCACATAGATATTTTGTATCTCTGTTTGGCACTCATTAGCATGGATATAAAGCAAAATAGTATAAAAATTCACTTTCCCTTTAAGGACTTTTTACAGTCAGTGAAGGAATGCTATAAGGCAGAGCCACAAACAGTAAACTTCCAAGAAGCTGCAGAAGAAGTTAGGAAGAAGATCAATTCCTGGGTTGAATGCCAGACAGAAGGTGAGCTCAGCATGGTTCTTCTGCCTTTTACTAGGCCAGGAAAGAGACCTGGAAATAGAGAGCCCAGAACAGCATGTCAAAGATCAAAAGAATATATATTGGTTGTTGTTGGTGCAGTCCAACAACATTGTGGAAAGCCACGTGTTCCTCCTTCCTGTTTTAGGACACGAAACAAAAGACAAAATAAACAAGCAACTGAGGCCTTCAGTATATATGTCCACAGTTATTCTAATACCATCTTAACAAAGATCATATATATATACTGCTAACACCACAATGCTATATATACTGCTAACAGTATATATACTGCTAACACCACAATGCTTTTATCTCTTGGTTAGACAAAGTGTGGTCCTTCAAATGTTGTTGGACTGCAACTCCCATCATCAAGGAATAGCTTTACCAGTTCCACACCTCTAATAAGTTTCCTTGTCTGAGCAGGGATTTGAACCCAGGCTCCCTAAATCCTATTCTGTCACTATATTCAAATCCAACACACTGGGTATCTTAAGAGAGCCACTTCAGAATATTGGCAAATTAAACATTTTCTTGGCTCTTGATGCAAGGATTGCACCAAATGGCATAGTGGACCTCCTTGCCACTATATTTAGCTCGATCTGGCCCAGAATGGGGCTGTAGACACCCCCCCAGATGCACCTTGGGCTTGATCCTTCAGGGCTCTTCTTATGTTCTTATAGGTGAGGCAAACCCACAGAATACTTCTACCAGTAAAGTCACATTTTAGAAGTGATTATTTCAAAAGCAGCAGCTGTGTTTCCTCGGATGAATAAAGTTATAGAAATGTAACCATGATTTCTCTCCTCTCCTCTGGAAAGGTAAAATACAGAACCTGCTGAGTGAGGGGTCTGTAGATTCACTCACCCAGCTAATCTTGGTGAATGCGCTGTACTTTAAAGGAAACTGGGCAAAGACATTCAAGAAGGAAGATACAACAGACCAGCCTTTCAGATTGAACCAGGTAAGAACTGCATTCAAAGGAAATAAGGCGCTTTAGCTCACTATGTCCTGTTGCCCTATTTGCAGTGGCATAACTTATATCGTTGTGCTATGGAGTAATATAAGAAAAGGTTTCCTGCCCCAAAGATTCTACACAAATGTTTTTTAAAAGCTCACCTCTGAGTAAAATTCATGAAAGTAAAAAGTATGTGTGTTGTGTATTACTTTTCAGAGCACGAGTAAGCCAGTGAAGATGATGTTTCAGCATGATACATTCAACTGGAACTACATAAGAGAGCTACAGACTCAGATTCTAGAGCTCCAGTATCTCAGAAATGAACTCAGCATGTTTATATTGCTCCCTGATGACATTAGTGATGACGGCACCGGCCTAGAAAGGGTAAATACAAGCTTTAATTGTTTAGATTTTGTTTTTCAGAAGCATTTCTTTTCTCAGACATTCACTGGATTTGTTTTCAGTGTCTCCTTCTGGCAAATGTGGGAGTAAAAATGACTAAACTGTTAAGGTTATGAAAAAGAGATCTGCAAATCTGTCTAAACTGAAAGTGACCTTTGAAGTATTTCCACAAGGAAAATTCTTCCATACAAATGGGGTCATATATTGTATAAATTAGGAAAGAAGTAAAACTAGTAAAAATTAAGTTCATCCAAGAACAGAGAGAGGAAGGCAGGCAGGAAGGAAGGCAGGCAGGAAGTTGTGAACTTTCACTGAGATGTGGGTTTTTTTTCTGTCATGCTCAAACCACACTTCTCTACATCTAAAAATGAAGGACTTTTAGAGATGCCACACACACTTTTGATGGAAGTTGCCCTCAGGTTATTGTAGACTTTATATAACCATTTGAAGAAAACAATGTGATCTAGCACAGTGGTTCTTAACCTTTGTTACTCAGATGCTTTTGAACTGCAACTCCCAGAAACCCCAGTCAGGACAGCTGGTGGTGAAGGCTTCTGGGAGTTGCAGTCCAAAACTCCTGAGTAACCCAAGGTTAAGAACCAGTGATCTAGCAGACAGAACATCAGATTTGAGTGGATAGATCAGGCACTCAACTTTTGCCCCATGCTCAGGAATTCTGAGAGCTGAAGAGCCTAAAAGGCTAAAAAGATGAGAACAGATAATCTCATCTTCCTCTGCATGGAGACAGATCCCTCCATATGACCTAAAACTTAGGATCTAGCTCTTTGATCTAGCTCTTTGGAAGCTGCTTTCCTGTGAGCTGGGGTGAAGTTTAAAAGTGAAGCATATAGCAGAGGCCAGTGGTGTGAGACTACAACAGATCCACACACTGCTAGAAGGAGGTTAGTTCCTAAAACTAGAACCCCTACAATTGTGGGGATGTGGATGTAAGGGCTGCTATCCAGTAGTCTGGGTCCCACAGATTCTGAAAAACCCACTGCAAGTGCCCTCAGGACCACATAATGGGTTCTTCAGAGAAACCCATTTTCACATTGATTCCATCTTCCTTGACTCAAGGGGGCGTTTCTTTTAAAAAGGTTAAAAACCACTGGACTACAGGATAGCGTCTATAGCATTACAGCATATCTGCTTCTGGCCTCATTGGATTCTTTCACGAAAGGGGAAATGGTTTGATGGCAAGATTGGGATGGCAGGGAAGGAAGAACTGATGTCTTGACTTGAGCTTGAAACATCCCTTCCCTGTTGATTTATGCCAATAAAAATGCATGATATAAAAGATACAGTATATGTTTCTGAAATGGTCTTGGGAAACCATACTGAAAATGTAGCTCCTCCTAAGAACCTGGAACAATCTTTTTACACATACACAGAAATCATGGCTTTTATTCTATTGGACCATTTAGATCTTTAAACCTTGGATAAAGAACTTGTGACTCTCCAAGTGTTGTTGGCATCTATCTCTCCCCGAGCCTAGCCAGCATAGTCAATGCTGGGGATGATGGGAACTCAAGTCTTGAGCTCTCCCACTCCATTCATATTTGTACTAATATACATTTTTCTTTGTACCACCTTTTAGATATTTGTAGATGAAAGTCATCACCCTCTTTTTAAAAATCTCATGCTATGACATATTCACTGATGACTGTTGAAAAATATTTGACCTATTGCTCTAGAGGGATGGTTCCCAATCTTGGGTCCCCAGATGTTCTGGGATTAAAACTCCCAGAAGCTTTCACCACTAGCTGTGCTGGGAGGTGTAGTCCAAGAACATATTGGGACCCAAAGTTAGGAACCACTGCTCTAGATGAAAACAAGTTTATATTGCTTTATCACTCTAGGGGTCTGTATGATTCCATTATCTGTCTGTCTTTAGCATTTTTTTCCACTCAGTTCCACTATATGCTCTTTTCAATGAGTTCCAGAAGTACTGATATTCAAACACAGTTGCACGTGTAAATTTATGACCATAGACACTTTTTCCCAACTAACCATCTGATTTTAAAATATGCACAATCACAGCTAGAAAAAGAAATAACATACGAGGCCTTATCCAAGTGGACCAGCCCAGAAGAAATGGAAGAAGTTGAAGCGAATGTGTATCTCCCTAGGATCCAGCTAGAAGACCATTATGAGCTGAAGTCAACTCTGAGCAGCATGGGGATGACAGATGCCTTCAGCACAGACCACGCTGACTTCACTGGGATGTCTGTGGAGAAGGAGTTGGTTCTGTCCCAGGTTTTTCACAAGTGCTTTGTTGATATCAATGAAGAAGGCACAGAGGCTGCCTCTGGAAGTGCAGCTGATGTCGTTGGGCGAAGCGATGGGGGTGCAGTTTTGTTTGCAGCTGATCACCCTTTCCTTTTTTTCATCAGGCATAACAAAACCAAAAGCATCCTCTTCTTTGGAAGATTCTGTTGCCCTTAAAAAAATTACCTTTCTGTTAGCCAATAGGAAGGACCTCGCAACAGGAGGAAGACAGGCTTCATGAGCACAGTCTGTCTAAATATGATGTTTTCTTCATTTTCCTGTATGGGTGAGGAATAGGAAGAGGCTACATATGGCTGCAGCTGATATGCTCAGCAAGATGTCAAGTCACTTCTTCAAAAACCAAACCAACCAAACCCTCAAACCCACACATGAGATATGGTGTGCATTTTATTCCCATGTATTTTTGTAAATTGCATTTTAGTAGAAATACAAAATATTTGATGCATCTTTCTTTTTATGAAGTGAACTTACTAATATTTTTTAAGTAACTCATGGAAGTCAGTGGACAATACAAACCTTTTCCTGTCATGTCTTTACAAGCAATGTATATATTGTATACCGCATATTGTTACATCTGGATTGTAGTTATATGTTTCATTATAGTTATTTTATTGTTTATTTATAATTTTTATTATTTTATTGTGTTGTATTTTGCAACTTTTAATATTGGAAGACACTGGGATTTTTAAACTAAAAAGGCTTGCAAAAATGATTTGAAATAAAAGTCACTTGACAATTTTTGTATGTTATGGTAGGTAAATACAATATATGGGTTTTCTATTTACTTAATTACATATACAATAGTTAAATAGCAAATAAAATTAAGTTCACACAATTAAGTATGCAAAAAAGCAAAGCATGCTGCTTATATGCCGCCCCATAGCACTTAAAGCACTCTTTGGTGGTTTACTCTCAGGGCTACACATTCCCCCCCCCAGCAAGTTGGGTACTCAGTTAAATGACCTAAGAAGAACAGAAGGTGGAGTCAACTTTGAGCCATCTACCTGAGCTGAGGATCAAACTTGGGTAAAGAGCAGAGTCTTCACTGCATTACTGCAATTTAGCCACTGTGTCACAAGGCTCATTGCCAAATGTCAAGCAGCTATGGAATCTTAACAGATGAAGATTGAATGGGGACATGGAATTTCTAAACCAAATACTGCACACACTGTGTGCGTGGTGGGGAAATGTGTGGAACTAGAACACAACAACAAAAAGAGCCCTTCCTCTTGTGCTCTTCAGTGTGGCTCCCAGAAAATCTTAACTGGCTGCATATGTATGTTAACTAAGGGCTTGATGCTACCGAAAATAAAACCTGCTCTTTACTCTTCGCTGTTTCTTTCTCCTTTTTTCTTTTCACAATTGCAGACAGAATGTTTCTAAATAAATGAAACCACATCACGACTTGCACAAGCGCAACACAAAACTAATGATGATTAAAGGTGTTTATCTGGGTCTTTTCCCTCCATCTATAGAGACTTCAAAAAAGAGCTCATTTTTCATAACTTAAGAGCATGGAATTTCAAACAATACATATAAAACTCCTCAAAATAATTAGATTATATTTATTAGACCAGACAGATAATATTAAGGGAGATTTGAATTACACCATATCCCCTTTCCAGGAGCAAAGACCCCAATATCCAAAGCTGATCCAACAAGAGGTGTCATCTGAATTGTGCAGTATCCTATCTTCCTTCTCTTTCGGCAAGCAAGACACTAATATTCAATTATCATTTAGCACTTTAAAGGTTCTTAGGTAATGTACAGCAGCTGTCAGTCCTAAACTTTTGCAGCAAGCAACTGTAGCAGCTGGGGATGGGCGAGCTGTTGACATGAAAGTTATAAATAAGGGGAAGTATAAGCTGCTCACATTTTGCAGTTATTTCTTCATAAGTGCAGCCAAACCTGACCGAGGAAGCCGCTTAACAATACCAGCTCCAGGTACTGTAAAATGCATGTGCTGCTTTTCATGGGGAAAAGGCAAACATTCTATCCACTGAAAAATCATGTGTCCTTGGGTCAGGTTTGCTTATTATTTTTCTCAATAAAATATAGGATTGAGTGAATGAATATGTGATTAACCTCTAAAGAAAGAGCAGAATTCAATATATTGCTTGAAATTGTGTCAATGAATGGTTTTGAGGTTGTTACTGCTTTTTCAAGAAATCACTGGGCAGCCATACAGAATGACCAAGATGGAATTATGTTTGTCTTTTATGGGTAGAAAGATGGGCTATAGATTTATCCTGTAATAAATTTAAGGGCTCAGAGCTTCTGCAGTTCTCCAAGTCTGGTTTGTCATGCACAAGTAAAAAATAACATGTGTATTTTCTAAAACATGTTTTTCATATAATACTGAGTGTCATCTTAAACATTGGTTGAGATGATGTAGTAGTCGCTCCCACCTCCCAGAATGTCTTGATTCTGTAAAAGGAGTAAGGATTTTCTTAGGCTACTTCTCAGCAAATCTGGCACTATCATGAGGCAAAGTAAGATAGCTGCCTCAGACAACAGATGACTGGGGTAGAACAACAGCCCAACAATTCCTCCTGAGCCCTTGGCCATTCCTTGTCTGGGAAGATGACCTGTTCTGTAACCTCAAAAACTAATCAATTATTTTTTAAGAGTCATGGCAAATGCCATCTTGTTCATCATGTTAAAGTAAGTTTCAGATCCAGCCCAGTTCATTCTCCTACTGTGCAATGAGGGAACGAGGTACAAGTGTTGTTATATTTTTATTATTATTATTATTGCCACGGGCAACAATTTAATTTGGGGATGGTCCCAAATCTCTGCACCTTCCACAAATTAAAATGAGTGTGGTTTTCTGCAAAAAAGTTAATGACAGTTAATGCTGATAGGCTGAAAAAGCACAGAAACCATGGTCTCTTTTGCACTTGTGTTGGTCATTAAGCCATGCTAGATCAAAAGAAGTGTTTTCAGAAGCTCATATTCTACTGAAATTTTAGAAAAGAGTCAGAACAGAGCCTTAAATACTTTGACTTGACAATTCAGCTGGCAGCAGTGGAGTTTGCTTTTAGATGATTAAGATCTATCCAACTTGGTCTTGTAGAAAAGGCTTTTTCAAGTAATAACCAGGACAAACACACACACACAAATCTTTTTGTACGTCAAAGGCTTTTGTGCAGTCCAGTGTTCATAATGAAGTAATCCTATTGGAACCTTTTAAAGGATAGCACCTGACAGGGGCTCAGAAAGGTGTGGGTAGGAGCACCCTGGGGGGGGGAGGCTAGTTTGCTCCAGCAAATATGCCATTGAATTGCTGGCACAAAGAGTGAAACAACCCATCCCCACAGCTGATCAAACAGAGAGCTAAATGCCTGTATATTCAGCCTCTAAGGGCCTGTCTAGAGAGGGGAATTTGGAATAGTCTGGTCCACACCTAAAAGGTCCTTATCTTCATAGTGACCTATTTGATCTCTCACTTGAATGATCTGTTCATTCACCTTGGAGCGGTTTATTCTCCTGTGAGAAGGGTCCATGCCGTTTTTTGGATGCTGTGTTACTTTCAAGCAAAGTTTACCTGGGTTACTCATGAATACGTTTACCTGGTTTACTCACAAGTAAAGAGACAACAGCAGCATGAGTGAAGGTTGAAACTCTTCCAGGCCTGGCTGATGCAAATGCGCTTGAATGATGGAAACATTTCAATAATGTTGTTTATAACACCACCTTGTCCACATCTGGCAAGAAGACCAAAAAGATGACCAGCTGGTTCGAAGCCCATTCGGAGGCGCTGATGCCAGCCATTAAGGATAAGAGGAGAGCTCTAGCAGCATACAAAGCCTGTCCTAGCGAGTACAACATGCAGGCTATCGAGTTGCTTGTAGCAAAGTTCAACAGGCTTCCAGGAGATGTTCTAATTATTATTGGCTCCAACTCTGCTCTCAGATACAGATAGCAACAGACACAGATATCATCAAGGGAATGTATGATAGTATCAAGCAGTCTTTAGGTCCAATACAAAAGAAATCTGCTCCTTTGAAGACTGCTACAGGCGTGATCATCCAGGACCGAGCCCAGCAGATGGAATGCTGGGTGCAGCACTACTCTGAGCTATATTCCAGAGAGAATGTAGTACCTGAAGAGGCACTAAATAACATCGAGTGCCTGCCTGTCTTGGAAGAGTTGGACAGTGAACTAACTTTAGCAGAAATAAAAGTGGCCTTGGATTTCCTCACCTCCGGCAAGACACCTGGGAAGGATAACATCCCTGTTGAAGTATTGAAGTGTAAAGAGATTGTCACCACTGAGCTGTGTGAAATCTTTGGATAACATCCCTGTTGAAGTATTGAAGTGTAAAGAGATTGTCACAACTGAGCTGTGTGAAATCTTTTGTCTTTGTTGGAGAGAAGCTGGGGTACCACAGGACATGAAGGATGCAAACATCGTCACATTGTATAAGAACAAAGGAGACGGGGCAACTGCAATAACTACCATGGCATCTCTCTTCTCAGCATCGTAAGAAAGCCGCTTGTCCGTGTTGTGCTGAAGAGGCTCCAGGTGCTTGCAGACTGAGTCTATCCAGAATCACAGTGTGAATTTCGAGTTAATAGATCCACTCCCTCAGACAGTTGTAGGAGAAATGTAGGGAACAACAACAGCCACTCTTTGTGGCCTTCATAGATGTTACAAAGGCCTTTAATTTCTTTAGCCGGGATGGTCTTTTTAAAATACTTCCCAAGTTTGGATGTCCACCTCATCTCCTTAACAGCATCAGGTCCTTTCATGAGGAAATGAAGGGCACTGTAGTTTTTGATGGCTCAACATCAGATCCCTTTGACATCTGAAGCGGAGTGAAACAGGGCTGTGTCCTCGCACCAAATCTGTTTGGGACCTTTTTTGCTGTCCTGCTGAAGCACACCTTTGGAACTGCAACAGAAGGTTTCTCTCTCTGGACTAGATCAAATGGAAAGCTCTTTAATCCCTCTAGATTGAGAGCAAAGACCCAAGTCCAGGTGAAATGCATGCGGGACTTCCTCTTCACCAATGATGCAGTTGTTGTTGCCCATTTTGCCAAAGACCTCCAACAACTCATGAATTGTTTTAGCAAAGCCTGACAAGACTTTGGATTAACAATCAGCCTTAAGAAAACATAAGTAAGGTGTCAGGTTGTGGATTCACCTCCCTCTTTTACCATATTCATACAAGAATTGGAGGTTCATTACTTCGTATACCTTGGTTCAACAATCTCTAACACTCTAGATATCTAGCTGGATAGATGCATTGGCAAAGCAGCTGCCATGTTCTCTAGTCTCACAAAGAGTGTATGGCTTAATAAGAAGCAGATGGCATATACGAAGATCCAGGTCTATAGAGTCTGTGTCCTGAATACACTCCAGGTACTGCAATGAGTCCTGGACCCTTTGTGCACAGCAGGAGAGGAAGCTGAATACATTCCATATGCATTGTCTCTGACGCATTTTTGGTATCACCTGGCAGGACAAAGTTCCAGATAGAGTAGTCCTAGAACGAGAAGGAATTTTTAGCATGTATACATTACTGAAACAGCGACATCTATGTTGGCTTGGGCATGTCATGAGAATGGCTGACAATGGCTAATCTAATCGTACCCAAATGTTGGCACAATACAAAACACTTAACTAGGGTTACAATTGCTTACATGTTTATTACGAAGTAAATCCCACTGACCTCAGGTGGTTTTCCTTCCCTATTAATAAGAGAATGATATGACACGGACCACTTTTATTTCAAAGATGTTATTATTATCCTTTCTGTCATGTTTTCCAGAGATTTTAGTGATGGAATCTCTCGCAGTAGCCAGCGGCAACTTCACAGTAGAGTTTTTCAAAAAGCTGAATCAATCATCCCAAGGCAAAAATATATTCTTTTCACCCTCGAGTATGTCATTTGCTTTGGCCATGGTCTACCTAGGAGCAAGGAAGAACACTGCCACCCAGATAGCTAAGGTAGGCTCTTCAGTTTGGTTGTGATGGCCCTGAATTTCAATAAATACAAGACTCATCCTGTGGTTTCCAACGGTGGTGTTGGGTTTCAGCTCTCGGAAGCCCCAGGCAATGCAGGGATTCTAGGAGCTGCACTCTAGAGGAATCTGGAGATTGATAGAATGGAAACCACCCAGGTTGGCTGCTCTTTCGTTAGACGTTGTTGCATGTCATGCAAATGTAGATAATGGCTACAGCAACAACAATGATAATACCAACACACATACAAAAGTCAGCCCAAGGAAAGATAGCTAACCTGTCCTTTTAATACATGTACAGCAGGATGCTTTAATAAAACTGTATATGGATTCAGGATATGAGGCAAGATATTGTACATACATACACATCTGCCGAATAAACTTTTTTAGTAAAGCCAGTCATTGTCTTGAAAACAGAGTTAAGGATTAAGAAATCTGGCAAGTTTTTGGACCTGAGTCTCAAGCCTTGAGTCCAAACCTCGAGTCCTTTTGCTCCCCCCCCCCAGGCTTGGGATTCAAGACTTGACCCAAAGATTCTGACTGTGAATGCAATAGCCAGCCGATAAGCTGGCCCATGTACAGAGAAAGCAGGCAGGTTGCCGCACCTTCCCCTGCTGTCTACCCGCACTACCACCATTGGCCTACTTGCTTCCACCACTGCATCCGCCACCCACTGGCACCCTCTTCAAAGGCAGCAGGCCTGGCTTCCCATCCAGGAGCCGAAACCCTGCCTCCACCCACACAAGCCCTGGTCACATGTGCAGAGGCAGGGACCAGTTCCAGGAAGGGAAGTTAGCCTGCTGTCTCTGCACATGCACCTTTGAAGAGGAGAGTGGCGGGCAGCAGGTGGTGGCGGGCCCATAGGGACTAAAGAACACAGCTTGGAGAAAGGGTCCAAGTCATGAATTCCAAGTCAACCCAGAAATCCCTGAGTCGAGTCCAAATCAAGTTACCAATGTGTTAACTTGTGTTGGACTCAACAGGGAGTTGCATCTCCCCATCCCTGGCTGGAACTCCTGGATTATTATGAAGACATCTTCTATCCAACTTCTGTAACATCCTTTGTCATTATTCTTTTCACAACTCCATTTGCAGGTGCTTCATTTCCATTCAATAAAAGAAACCGAAAATTCTTCACAGGTAACGTAACCTTGGATGAGAACAGTAAAAATTGTATGTGTGGAAACTGGTTTCCTGAATTGTGGAACAAACTGGTGAATTATGGAAAAGAAAACCCCAGAGAGTCATTGCTTCAAATATAGTAAAGTTTAATAATTCTTTTTAATGGAAATTAATATGGGGGGGGGGAGGACCTGGGCAGCAGCATCTGTGTAAGATGGCCATTTTTAGCAGGGCATGGTAGGTGGTAAGGTTCCCTTGCTAAAGTTTTAAGCTGCCTTGGGTCCTTTTAAGGAGAAAGGCAGGGTAAAAATATTTTAAATAAATACATAAAAATTTTACATGTGCATGTGTGCACATACTGAAGCATATCATACATGCAGTGCAATTGAACTCTTGTCTCCCTGTAAAGGAACCGGACCTCAGCAAAGATGAACTTGTCCATGTGGCTTTCCAGCAACTGATTTCTGAAATCAACCAACCCAGGGCCACATATTTGCTTAAAACCGCCAATAGACTCTATGGAGAAAAGACTTTCAAATTCATTACAGTAAGTATTTATACTAAATTGTCATGTTTAATCTGAAATTAGTTTAATCTAAATCCAACTCTAATCTCCAAGATTACTTGGGATATATTCTTGTTATCCTAACCTCTTGGAAATGGTGGCTATAAAGGGCGACCAGATATTGCAGAGTTAAGGGCATGGACAGCCATGAACCCTCTTCATTTTTTGTGCTGCTCACAAAAAATGTGTAAGCTGAATGCCTTACATAGAAGGGTTGCTACGTCTCTGAGTGCTGGCTAGAACCTCAGGGCACTGCTGTGCTTCACCAGGTCTCCAGGCAAGGAAAACTCTCAAGGTGAGCAGCACTGGATGAATGGAAACTTTGGATCTTGTTTCTGAGGTGGCTTTAAGGCCCGAGCACCCATCTCCAGCCAGTCTCTGGCTAGCTCTGTGCTTGGTGGACTGGTGATGAGTAGCAGCATAAGGCTTCCATCTGTGTCAAGAGTACTGTAGGTAAGGCAGCACAGGATGTAATTCCTGTGACGTTGTGCCTACTATGATGCAGTAAGGATGGCACAAAGTCTTACTTTGCCCGTGCTGTTTCATCTTTGACCTGCCACCCAGCAGAGTTGTGGTGAGTCATAAGGAGCTTGTTGGCATCAGGCTCAAAGAAACCAGGAGTGGTACCTTCAGCAACCTGTTGCGATAAATTTGCTACACACTTTGAAGAGAAATGTGCTTGATTTTGCTTAGAATGTTATGTCACAGGTTCTGTGGAGGTACCTAATACACCGTCTAGTCTGATTTCTTAGGAACAGTTTCAGCCTAGAAGCATGATATGATGCCTTAGTCACTCCACCCTGCCAAATGTAAGCTTCATACTTGCCCATCTTGACTGATGTTTAGCAGAACTGGATTGTTGGGTGCATCCAGGGTGTGATATTTATTCCTCTGAAAGAAACAGCGGGGCCTCCTTTTCCTGCAGGTCACCTCCCTGGACCTGGAGGAATGTGAGAGCTACCACCCTATCATAAATATGGGCAAAGTTCTTGAGCATGAGGTGGCTGTGCAGCTTCAGCTATTTATGAATGGAACAAAGTAGTCTGACACATTTCAGTCTAATTTCAATCCAGGGGTCCAGAATAAAACAACCTTGGTTGCCCCAACTGATGACTTGCTAAGGAATAAATTGAAATAGTTTAGATGGAAATCATTGAACCAATCCTTGTTGATCATCCTGCACCTTTTGCTGGCATTTAATAGCATTAAGCATGGTGTCCTCCTGGAGCAGCAGTTAAGAATGGAAACAGGATGCTCTGTGTCATAGCAGGTCCTTTTCTATCTGTGGAACTCTTTCCAGAGAGTGATACTGAAGGATTTATTTTTTTCAAACTCATGGCAATTAAGTTGGGGGTGTCACAGAGGTCCACTCTACCCCCTTGTAGCGTTTCCCTTTGTTATGTCAATGGTTCATGTTCTGTTAATTGTTCATGCATATTCATTTTGCTGAGAGGCGGGGCCGAGAGAGATGTGATAAGAGGCGGAGCCTGAGATATTCAGGGGCGCAGTCAGAGAAAGGTCAGAGGGAGTGTGTGAGAGAGAAGTAGCTAGAGTGTGGAATTTGAGGAATTCTGAGGTGTGATTAAAGTTAGGAGTGCATTATCAAATAGAAGGTGGTGGTTAATAATAAATTTACTTAAAGAAGATATTCATGAATCAATTTCAATTTCTGTAATCAATAAACAAAAGTTCTATTTAAAAGACCTTGAAGTGTGGGCCTGAATCTTTATCTTCCTGAACAAATGGTGATTTGGTGATCACCTGGTGGCAGCAGTGTAAAAGAGGGGATTGTTTGCCTTTGTGTGCTCTGAGTTTTGACAGTCAAGCAAGGGGCACGAGGGTGAACGCCACACCCCTTTATTGTTTTACATCCATATGAAGTTGTGGGAGACAGGTTGTTAAGCATTTGGGGGTTGAGTGACATCAGTCTGCTGATAGCACTCAGCTCTACCTCTCCTTAGCAGAGGCAGCTAAGGCTGTGCAGGTGTTGGACTGTTGTCTGGATGCTGCAATGGGCTGGATGAGGGCCAATAAACTGAAACTGATTCTTGACAAGACAGAAGCCCTGTGGTTCAATGATTCCCATTTAAATTCTTTAAATTGTTCTGTACTATTCTTGCTGTACTCTGCCCTCGGATCTTATGATATAGAGTAGGATACAGATAATACAAAGATGAATTCTCAGCAACTTCACAAACAATAACAACAAACCCACTGAAAATGCTGTTGTCCTCAAATAAGAATTCCCATCCTACTGTCGGCTAAGGCGGATGGGAACAACAGTACCAGAACAATGGGAGGGTCACACTTCACCCATCCCAACATAAACTGCTACAGACATGTAGGCTATGCACGTTGTCTGAAAAGGAAGTTCTTTGATGTATATTGGGCTGGTCACTTGACTGTAATAAATTCTATTCTTTTCTATTCTTGATCTATATTGTCATTCTCCTTTTTTTGCTGCATCACACATTAGGTATTTAGATTGTCTGCAATATGAAGTGCTATACAGTGGTGCCTCACAAGACGATGTTAATTTGTTCCACGAAAATCGCTGTCTTGTGAAAACATCGTCTTGCGAAACACGGTTCCCCCATTGGAATGCATTGAAATCTATTTAATGCATTCCAATGGAAAAATCACTGCCTTGCAAAAATCACCCATAGAAAACATCATCTTGCAGAACGCAGTTCCCCATTGGAATGCATTGAAATCTATTTAATGTGTTCCAATGGGGAAAAATCACCGTCTCGCGAAAATCGTCCATAGAAAAAAAATCATCTTGTGAAGAGCAACAGTGATCGCAAAAAACAATTGTCTTGCGGATTAATTGTCCTGCGAGGCAATCTTGCGAGGCACCACTGTATATGGAAAAAAATCTATCTGAAGTCAGAGTCTTGATCCTGAAAAGTGAAGAGTGTATGCGGGTTTCCTACTGAGCCCTGGAAGTTATCCACATCCAGTCTAAAATTCCATAGCTGTGCCATTGTCAGGGACCAGAGTACAGTCCGGGGTCAACCCAGATGGGCTGCAGTGAGATTAAAAGAATATGTTTTGTCTTTATACTTTTTAGGAATACCTGCAGCTTGCTAAGAAATACTACCACGCGGAACCACAATCAGTTGATTTTTTGAGGGCTGCAGAACAAGCCAGGAACCAAATCAACTCTTGGGTTGAAAGACAGACTGACAGTAAGTTCATTCTTTCCTTCACTGCAGACTCTGGTTCCAGGAATTTCTTTAGTGGCAAAGCTCTAGGCCTGCCCTTGTGCCTTAATGCTTTAAATCACATTGAGAATCAAAGGAATAATTCTCTCCTTTCTTCCCCACCTTTTTAGAAACAATAAAGTTGCTTTGTTCGACAAATCAAAGACACTCATCAGACTTGCCTCAGATTTTTTCCCCTCCTTTAAATACTAGCACCAACATGTAGATCAGAACTGCATTGCAAAAAAATCTTGGTCCTAGGCCAGAATACTGAGAATGGGCTTTTTAACTATTACTTATTTGGGATAAAATTTGTAAATTGCACCAGGGCTGTACTATGAAGTTTGTGAAGCTTCTCAACTTTTAAGAATCTAGCCCTGATCAAATTTTTTATTTTCATTTATTCATTTTATTATTTTAAAAAAAACACCCTTCTTTTCTTCTAGCACAGGACAACCTGCTGTAATGTCAGAAAACCAAAGATAATTTAATAATTTATATTAAACATAGTGCTGAACTGAAACAATTTAAAATAATTTGAAAGCAGAGTGGGAAAGGAATGACCCTTTTGCAACAACCAAAACCAGCCTTGCTATCTCGCTATTCTGTTATAGTCAACCAAAAAAAATAATAATTTTCTAAGCATCCCAGAGGAAAACTACAGTTTAAAGGGGGAGCTGCTCTACTGAAATCAGTAGAAGAGACTTCCTTATAAAGAACTTGGTCCGGTTACTTTTTTTGGACTACAAATACCAGGCTTCCCTAGCCAGCCATTGATTGATTTTTTTCTCCTTAGGCTATACTTATAAAGATGTACATTGTCTTTACTCTACCAGGATACCAGCATTTATGCTAATAAATGTACTTTTCATGTCCAAAAGACAGAATCCAGAATCTGTTGCCTAAAGGTGCCATTGATTCTCAAACTGTATTGGTCCTAGTAAATGCCATTTACTTCAAGGGACAATGGGAGAAAAAATTTCAGAAAGAAAATACCATTGAAAAATCTTTCAGACTGAGTAAGGTAAGCGTATAATGCCAATAACAGTGTGCCATCTTATTCAAGGCCAGAATACATAACATTAATTTACAAAAGCACCAGTAACTCTACACATAATCTCCAGAACAAACATACTAAAAGGAAAACCACAAAATCAGTACAGTAGTGTGTTTGTACACAACGTGCATGTACTTTTTAAAAAAAATTACAATTGTTAACTGACTTGCAGATGACTTCTAGCAGAGCCAATTTTGCTTATATTGCTAAAGATTCCCTGCAATGTACACTGTTTTAATGTGGCAAGATAAATCCTGTAAAGTTTATCCTTGCTGTAACTAATATTTGTGCTGGAATTTTAGTAAAAAAAGTAAACAGGATATATGAACATTGTAAATGAAAGTGTTCAAAAGGTAGGGAAACTTGAAGAAAGCAGATAAGATTAAGCTATAGTTGGAATGGGCAAAATCTGCTAACTATAACTAGTCTGTTATCCTAAGAACCAACAGTAAAGCGATCAGTTTTATAATTGATATTGTCCTGTTCCCATGGTGACCCCTGAGGTTAATGAGATGAAGCAGCAGCTTTGCAATTAAATGCTAAATATTTTCCCTCTAGAGCTGTTGTATCTGCACAATAATTTGCATACATAACTCACTTTTTACCTCTTGATACCAACTGCCAAGCAAACATAAGTTATACATTCATTACATGTTTACCCTGCCTTTCTGCTAAGGGATGGCATACAAACTTTTAACAGATTAAAGAAACATAAAAACACATTTGGCTATGTAATAAAATCATATGAAGCAGCTCCACCATCAAACCATTAAAAACAAACAAAATACAATAAAAACCAAATAAATCTCCAAGGTTGCAGATTAAAACAACACAGCGGGGCTGGTTAATTTGCATCATAGAGAGCTGTGAAACTCGCTGAAACATAATCAAGTGTCCCTTACTTCTTAAGCCATCTCCTTTTCAAACTGTGGAGCTGCCGTTTCATCAGGTTCAGATGTAAAACTGTGCATATTCAAACAAGATCGCCTGTCTTTGGATTTTCAGTACTACCCCATGACAGGGAGACAGATGACTCGCCTAAGTAGAGACGTGTTACAGCCAATCAGTGGCCAGAATAGGGACTTAAAGTGGGCAAAGGAATAACATGTCTTCTAATAAACCAAAATTGCAGATCCAAACAAAGCCTGTGCAAATGATGTTTCTACGGGACACGTTTCCGGCTTTCTACGTTGAGACCTTGAGAGTCTACATTCTTGAACTACCCTATGTCAGCAATGACCTCAGCCTTTTGATCCTGCTTCCTGAAGACATCACAGATGAATCTACCGGTCTGGAAGTGGTAAAACCTTTCTTCATACCTTTCCTAGGGACTGTTAGACTCAACAGGCATATGTAAGCTTCAATTCTCTGAGACAGTTGAATTAAAAAGAGTGTCTTCGTTCTCCCATTTGTCTTCAAGAATATTTAGAGGTCCCACAAAGCATAAGCTTAAATACCTCTGACACAGTAAACCTATGAATACCAATTTGGAAGTAAGTCCCAGTAATTGTATAAAACTGCAGCCTTAGTGAAACTTACTCTGCATTTTTATACATAGTTATTGAGGGCAAAATCAGGCATTACAGATTATTATACCTCAAAACATGGTAAAGGTAAAGATTCCCCTTGACATTTTTAATCCAGTCGTGTCCGACTCTAGGGGACGGGTGCTCATCCTGTTTTCAAGCCCTAGAGCCAGCGCTTGTCCGAAGACAGTTTCTGTTGTCACATGGCCAGCGTGACTAGGGAACACCATTTTACCTTACCACTGAGGTGGTAGCTATTTATCTACTTGCATTTACATGCTTTCGAACTGCTAGGTTGGCGAGGAGCTGGGACAAAGTGATGGGAGCTCAGTCCCTTGCGTGGATTCAATCTTATGAGTGCTGGTCTTCTGACCCTGCAGCACAGGCTTCTGCGGTTTAGCCCGCAGCGCCACCACGTGGAATTCCATGTTTTCTTAATCTGCAAATTTAACAAGGTGAAACTTCTGTAATGACACCCAAAGGATTTTCCTCTTCTTCTGAGGGCTATTTAATACATCTATTTCTGCCTTAAGACATTACCTGCTCTGAGTTCACAGGGATTTACACCTAGGTGGCTGATATGTCCTCTTAAGGCAACTATGAATTGGCTCACCTGATACTTTTGAGCTGAAACATGTTTCAATCCCAGATAGCCGGCTCAAGGTTGACTCAGCCTTCTATCCTTCCAAGGTCGGTAAAATGAGTACCCAGCTCACGGGGGGGGGGGGGGTGGGAGGACGCCAG